AAAGAGTAATTCCCTTTATGAAAACAATCAACTGCAAAGTGTCCCTTCTTACCACAAATTTGGCATTCAACCACAAAACCAGTAGTGAGAGTGTTTGTATTTCTATGAAAACAATTGGCAGATGTGTGATCTTTCTTATTGCAGATTTGTCATTCAATTACAATATTTGTTCTTGTTTCAGTGTTGCCTGTCCAAGAACCATTTCCATTATAAGCTTGTCTCGATCCACCTAAGTAGTAAAAATTACCATTGTTGTATCCTTTTCCTCTAAAGCCATTGTTGTTTCTATAAGTGCTTCCATTGCCTTTGTATTGACCCCCGTTATAAGATCTATATCCATTATTAGAATATTGAGGCTGAAACCTTGTTGATTTCCAGAATTTGAATGACTCACAAGACCATAACCAAAAGATTGAGCATTTTGACCAGGGAGATGAGGTAATGATGTATCCGGATAGAATGTATGAGAATCACAAGGGTAATAGATGGATGAGTAGATGAACCATATGGCTGTTGTACAATAATTCCCTATGTATTAGCAATAATGTGATTATGTCCCTGAAGATTAGAAGAAGATGCACCAGATGATACCCCTGACTGTACATGTTAGAACCAAAACCCATACCAATAGTAGTACTAGAATTAGCACGTTGAACATAGAGAGCAGACATACTTTGAGACAACAAATTCATTTCTCCTTCAATTTCCTTTTCAGCACCAAGTAGTTGAGCACGAAATTCCTTCAAGGTAATAGATGATTCCCTTGCCAATATAACAATTCTAATAACAGCATACTCATTTGGTAAACCAGCCAAACCAGCAATCATGATATCATTCTCACCCTGCAGCAGTTAATTGATCCTTAATGTTTTTCAATCGCAGCAAGTACTTATCAATACTGTATGTATGTACCCTTCTAAATCGTATGCAATTCAGTCTTTAAGTGATTCACTCGAGATTTAGAAATTGAGGCATATCTTTCAATAAGATCGGATCAGGCCTCGAAAGCTATTCTACACCCTATAACATACTTCATCGCTTCATCTGTTAGTGTAGCTAACAACAAACTAATGAGAGCCATATCAGTAGATTCGCATTCAAGAAACTTATATGTAATTTCCTTTGTAATACCAACTTCAGTAGTAACAACAAATTTAGGTGGACACACAGTGGTACCATCAAAATGACCAAACATTTTGTATCCCTTAAGGATAGATTGAAACTAAAACGCTCACTTAGCAAAATTATTATCTCTGAGTTTTATAGTAAGCATACCCAACAAGTTCTTTACTTTGAATGATGAAGATGCCATCGAAAACAATTAAACTAACCAAAGCTTGAGTTGACACATACAATCTTGAGAGAATAATACTCCAAGATTCAAAACCAGAAATACTACTACTCCAAGAAAACACTATTACTCCTAGAAAGAATGACACTTTCTTTATCAATCAACAAACTTCAATCTTCAACAAAATGACCAGAAAGAATAACACTTTCTCTACCAATCAACAATCTTTAATCGTCAACAAAATCCCCATAAAGAATAACACTTTCTCTACGAATTAACAGAATGTAACCTTCAACAACTTCACAAATCCTAGAGAATGATACTCCAAGACAAAAACCCAGAAAGAATAACACTTTCTTGAATTCAATTTCTAATAAAAAATTATCAAATCTTCAACTCATACGAACCATCTTTAGCATATCGAATCAATACCAATGATCACAGCTTCAAGATTGTAGAAAACATATAGAAACACAAATTTATAGAGACGAAATCACCTGATTCTCCATACGCATCAATCGAAGTTCAAGATTCTCAAAACTTTCAACTCTCTCGAGCGTCAATCGAAGAAAACTCCATCGGAATCAGAGACAAAACAGCGGAGAAAACCCGTTTAGGATCGGAGTCGGCGACAAGCCAACATCGGCGATGATACCGTATTGACAGTTGAAGATAAAGCTTGAGAGCGAAGAAAAGAGAGAAGAAGAGAGAGCAACTAATTCTTTTGATTGAATGTATTACAACCTTGTTTTACAGTACATGCTACCAATTCCTTATATAGCCAAATCATTACATGTTACAATTACTACAATACCCTTCTAACGACCACAACTAACCACAACTATATTAAAAAACTATTTCACTAAAACAATGTCAAGTGTCATTACAATTATATAAGTTATTACTTACGTTGCTCGTAAGTTAGCTGTCGAATGTTAACGTCATATGTAACACAATTAAAAATGAAGATAGGGACTTTGAAAATGAATAACGTGATGACATCCGCTAATAGTTTTATTAAAACAAATTTTACCATTACCTTAATTTAAAGAGACATCAAATCACATGTATCTAAATTTTTAAATAAAAAGAATTCTTTAAATATGATTTTCTTGTTGCATATATATAATTCACAAATGGACAACCTAGTAGAAGAAGAATTCGTCAAGATTCAAAACCTGAATGAAAGCCATGCTCCTACTGACAGTGACAGTCCAAGTACTCCTACTATGAATGAAAGATAGGGGTGTGCTATCCACATACTTCTTTTTATTTCGCACACACCTTTTGTTAATTTCTATCTGTTAATATTCTTCAATTCATCCGATCCGATGACCGAAAACTAAAAATGTATGGATGAAGTAAAAATGAATGTGTGGATATCATATCTCGAAAAATATTATCCTCCAAAACCTAGACTGATTCTTCTCCGCACGCAAACTGATTAATTTATATATTTGATCATGAGCAGTGAATACGGTTAATTACCGAAATTTATATAACGAGGGTTTAATTTCCATTTTTGCAATCCAATTACTTTTCAGGGAGGAAGCAACTTGTATTTCAAGCTCCCCAAATCCCAAGGTGTGTGTTTCCCAAACAAATCAAATGGTATGTGACAGATGACAATACAAAGGTTTCCGTTAATTATTGGCCGATTCAAACAAGGATATCCGCAAACCCACGAGAGGAAATACAACGACTTTGCTTTGTAGATTTTTTTTTGTTCATTTTAGAAAAGAAAATCACAATTAATTTGTTCAGCTTTCATGAATGCAAGCTTAAGTTGAAATCTCATGTGCGAATTTGACAGATTCAATGAGATTAGAAACTCCATGTTGATCAATGTGTGTGCATATTTTTTAGGAAACTATTCTATCTTATTCCATGTATTAACTTTGAATTCAATTTAATTTAGATGCAACAAACCTCGTTAAATAAACTGATTTTCGAGAAACGAATTAGCGGCTCACTACTAATCACACAAACATTGTTATTAATTTTCGTTTTTTATCACATACGTACTACTTGGTAATGCATGATCAATTTTGAGGGTTTACACTACTGATACATCAGTACGAGATTTTTTAACACAAAAAGTCTCACTTTTACAAAGAGCGAATTATCCATTGTTATTAAAAAACATTTATTCACATATTTTGTATTCCCAATTTCATACATGAATTTTTATTTTTTAGCATTCATTCACCATAACACAACAGTGAGCTAGCTAGCAACCACTGTGGAGCATGAGTGTTTATTTAATAATCCAAGTGAATAAACTGACTTCCCAAGTCAACGATTGATTCCTTGACCCAGAATCAATTTGGACAATGTACGTTTGAGAAATAGTATTTTTCTCCATTTCACATGTCCTTTATGTATGAATATTGTACACATGTTTAAAAATCTGAATAGTTGATTAATTATAGATAAACATAGTATTACATTATAATTAGATTATTAACCTATTGATCAGTTTAATTAAATGAAGTTTATTTAAATATGAATGTTCATTAGATAACATTTACATAATGCCAAATATCTAATAAAAAGAACATCATGTGCATGCAATAACTAAGTATATTGTGGAGGTCCCACCATTGTTAATGTGATCAACAATGCTAATGTCATAGATAAAAAAAGAGAGAGACATCTTGTACATTGTTGTTGCTCAGAGAGAAACAGATTACATACATATATACATACATAGGATAGTGTTATTCACACACTTATTTTTACTTCTTATACACTTTCATTATTTTTTGTCATTAATTTTCTTCAATTCATTGTTGCACGTATTGTTACTCTAAGTAGGCTGCAATATGGGATTACATGGAGGTGTACAATTAAGGTATCATAATGTAAGTACTCTGCAGTTATCAGATTTATTAGGAACAAGAACAATATTGGGCTTGTTAGTAATAAGCAAGTACAATATATATCGTAAAATCATTATACAAAGTATCAAGAAGAGAAATAAGTTTATGCAATAATTGTAAGAGAGAGGGTAATGCAGTGTACAATGACACTGTTACTGACTACTGCAAGCATTTCAGCTTCTGGTAGATAATCCTCCTCATAGAAAGCTGCTCCCAGCAGCATAACACATGATGAGATCACATCTTATTAAAATCCCTTCCTATAGTAGATTACACATGAGTAATGCTAAGGAGATTCAATTTGTAAATTAAATTTTATAAATTAAATGACATAGAAGTTGATGATTGGATTATTACTTAATCGTTAATAAACGTACTTATTTTTTATTGGTGACTCCTCATTTAGTTTGCTAATTTAGTTTACAAATTTAAATTATTACTTAATCTCGTTGTAAACTGAGCATGATAACTCTCTCCAAACCATAATCACAAATGATCTCTCTCTTCAAACCCTTGTGAGCAGGCTCCAGGTTTCCAGAGTGCAATTAATTTCTTACGTAACTATTTAAGTAGTATTATATATATTAATTTGCGTAGGCAAGGAGAGGGAGAGGAGGGAAGAGAGACCAGTTTCCCCAAATATACCTGGTATCCCAGTTTGCTGCTGCTACTTATTGCCACAGCTATATATGATTGCTCCTGCAGATCACAAGTTATTAAAGAAAGCAGCAGCTAGCTACCTAAGCTCAAAGCTCATCTGATCAATCAGAATATATATAATTAGTGATCATTCGCGTGAAGATCTCATCACCAACAACTGATTGCTCATGGGCTCATTCAATTCTTCCCATATCCAACAAGAAGAAAAAGAAGATCATCAAAACCACCCAAACAACAACAATATCTCAGATCTACAACTATACCACCACCACCACGACGTTTCTGATCAGCCTCCATTGATTATGTCAACATCTCCAAACATTTCACCAACCCACCTCCGCCACTTACTCATTACCTGCGCCGAGCTCATTTCCCACCTTGACTTCCCTTCCGCCAACCGCCTCATTTCTCTCTTATCCTCAAACTCCTCTCCCTTCGGAGACTCCACCGAAAGATTAACCCACTATTTTGTCAAAGCCCTCTCTTTCCGCCTCAATACAAACCCTAATTACTCTCACACTACTATCTGCCCAATGACAGCGCTCACAACTGCCGCCAGTGCGTCCGCGTCCTCCTCCTCCAACTACTTGTTTCCGCCGATGTTACTCGAGGAGGAGGACGACAACGAGGAGACACTCCACTCGTGTTACCTAACCCTAAACCAGATAACCCCATTCATCCGGTTTAGCCACTTGACGGCCAATCAAGCCATCCTCGAATCCATAGACTCATCTCATCTCTCAATCCACATCCTCGACTTCGACATCATGCACGGCGTCCAGTGGCCCCCACTTATGCAGGCCCTCGTCGAGCGTTCCTACAACTCACCACTCCACCCACCTCCCACGCTTCGAATCACAGCCACCGGCCGCGACCTCACCCTCCTCCTCCGAACCGGTGAGCGTCTCTTGAGATTCGCTCAGTCACTTGGCCTGGCCTTCCAATTCCACCCCCTTGTCCTAAACAATGCAGCCCGGCCGTCGGACTTAATCTCCCCCTCAACCCTCGGCCTCCACCAAAACGAAGCCCTAGCCGTCAACTGCGTCCTCTACCTCCACACCCTAGTTACGGACGACTCACGTGACCTCCTCCTCTTTCTCCAGAAGATCAAGTCATTGAACCCAAAAGTCTTCACCGTCGCCAACAAAGAAGCCAACCACAACAACCCCCTCTTTTTTAACCGCTTCGTGGAGGCTCTCGACCACTACGGCGCCGTCTTTGAGTCCCTCGAGGCGACGCTGCCGCCCAACAGCCGGGAGAGGCTGGCGGTGGAGGAGTGGTTGGGAAGGGAGGTTAAAGACGTGGTGGGAGTCGAAGGAGAGAAGAGGAAGCAGCGGCACGAGAGGTACGAGACGTTTTGGGAGGTGGTGCTGCGGAGGGCGGGGTTTGAGAATGTGGCTTTGAGTCCGTTTGCGCTTTCGCAGGCGAAGCTTCTGTTGCGGCTTCATTATCCTTCTGAGGGTTACCAGCTGAGGATTCTCAATGACTCTTTTTTCTTAGGTTGGCAGAATCGTCCCCTTTTCTCTGTTTCTTCTTGGCACTAATTACAAATATATATACACATATATGTATGTGTCTGATTGATTTTTCAGCTATATTGCTAGCTAGGTTTGAGCTTTCCCCTCTTGTTTCATCTCTATATTACTATTCTTATTAGCCAGATTAAGGAGAGGGAGGGTTTGAATCGGGCTGGAAAGTAAGTTAAGGAGAAAAACCGTTTCTACCAGGGCAATCCACCGCTGTTTTTTTATCATATTTTTATATCTATATATACATATATAGAGAGGGTTTTATATGTACAAAAAGCTGCATTTATGAAGCAAGAGCTGCCATTACAGTATTTTCAAGAACTCACTGAATTGTTCTACTCAAAGAGAAGAGTACTCTTTCTTTTTCCCTTATTCTTCTGCCTATCTCTAAACATTCCTAAAATTCCTAACTAGTTACTCAGCTGATCCGCCTAAGCATACATGCAAAGAGTAGGGTGAATCTTTGTGGACGTTGCATGTGAACTGAAGACACGCAGCCAGAGGGAGCTCCTGATCAGTTTTTCCAATATCACAGTTTGTTCTTTCTTTAGAGACTGAAATTGATCATGAATTATTGTTTTATATGAATCTCGTAAATATTGAGTTTTATTTAATTTATTATATTTTTTGGGATTTATCCCCTTAATTAAGATCCTGTTTTTTTCCTTATGCGTAATTATTTAATCAATTGTGTAACCAATTCCTCTCTGGCCATTAATTTGGAAGCAAACAAATTAAAGGCTTAACGGGAGCATATCTAATTCTCTCTTTTTATTGAGTATTGACTTTTATAATATATCAGCTAGTTTCAATATCTGAACTCCTTTAAGCATCATTTTCTTCTAGGGGGTTGTTTGTCGCCGTGTATATATCCTGATATAGCTAGTTTATATGCTACTTTTCTCCAAAGTTTGAGTCTCGAAGGACAGGACTAATTTTTAGCTAAATGCATTTTCACTCCTGGCTACAATTAAATGATGCATGTCCTTCTAAAACTTCAAATCAAAGAATCATTCGTATTTAGCTACTTAATACTATGATCTAGATATTTATCTTTACTTGTAAGTGAGAGGCCTTAAGTTCGTTTCCTATCAAAGATGAATTTGAACTACATTATTGTTGGTACATTGTGAGGTTAAACTCATCTCATCTTCCTAAATATAGATAATATCGTTTATTAAAAAAAAAACATCACTCAGTATTTTGGCCACTAGTTTATACATATGCTACTTCATTAGATGCCTTCTTTTTAATGCCAATTAATTAATAATTATGTACTTCACTTTTGGATGAAATGCCAAATACTTTGTTTTGATCAGTTATCTATCATGCACTCCCACCTTGGACACCTAAAGATCATCTCTCTCTTTTGTTAACAATAAATTATAAGAAAAGAGGGGCACTGTTTAATTAAAGTAGTAAAAATATTGCAAATAACCACTCCTTGTTCCCCAAAATTCTTTTGTCTCCCTTCCTCCAATGAATGTTGTTGTGCTTTCACGAGATTGATTAAAGAGGCATGGAAGTGCATGAGAGCATATACATAGCACTAACTAGCCGTATATGCCTGTCGATGTCTTTTGATTTTGCACTATTTTTTGCCCTAATTTATGCCGTCTGTCCCCTCAACAACACCATGAAATTTCTCAAAACAGACCATATCATGCTCTCCTTTGCCTCCTCTATCACCATACGCCCCCAAACCGACCTGCCTAGCTAGGGATCTCTCCTGTCCTCTTTGTTATTAAGGACCACTTAATTAATCTCTTTATAAATTATTGGGTAATACTAATGAGACTAAATTTTTAAACTAAATTTTGTAAACTAAATGATTTTATTAGTGATATATCATTTAGTTTGTAAATTTAATCTCTCTGGCATTACACTAAATTATTTACACAAAAATATATGATCTCCTCTGCCTAGCTTTCCCTTGTTATTTTTTTTTTCGTCAAACTTCCCCTTTTTATTAAATATATATATATGGACGGTGGGAGGTAAGGCCCAGTGGGGGCACATCCCCCTCTCATCCCTTTTTTTAATTTCATTACAAATTATTCAATTAATCATTCCCATGTTATTTTGTTTTGCAAATTATTCAATTAATCATACTAAAATAGTGAAAATCCTCTTTTAGTTTTTAAATGCCCCTCCGTTTTGGATATTTTTCTCACACACTATCTAAACCTTGTTGAGTTGCATGTATCTGGTTAATTAGTATAAATGAGCATTAGATTGTCAACAGTTAAAGACAAAATTAGACAATAGAGTAATAAAATTAGGCATTTTGTAATTAATTTTTTCAGCATTTGTAAAAGAACTAGCTTTATTTGTCAAAAAAAGGAGCTCAAATTTTTTAAGGTGCCTCTCTTAGTTAAATTTTTTGCTTCATCCCTGTGTGTGTGTATATATATATACACACACACTTCAATTAACCTAACCCTAAAATTAATTCTCACTATCTCCTTGCACACGCGCGCCTGTATAACTTTCCAAAAGGAAATTAGATTTAATGAACCTTCCACTTAAAGTAAATTTAGGGATATATTAATCGTTTAGCTACTTACAATGGTACGTTCGAGCTATCTAGCTTTCTATATCCACCTTTCCCTAATATATGGCTTTCTTTAGTCGTCAACCTTGCCCTAATGTTGCTTAGTAAGAAAGACGTTGCCCTAACGTTACTTGCATACATTTCTGTAGGTAATATTGGTTCAGAAAGAATGTGTACACACGGACACCCACACACGCATATATATAATTTAAGAATTTATGTAAATAATGGAAATGTAATAGGCCATCCATTTAACTAAAAAATTAAATTAAATATGAAATCTATGGTTTGCTAATATAGAAGCTCTATCTAGGTATGTTAATTATACAGAAAAGTTCTATGTCTAGTTTGGTTGGTTGCTTACTGACATGAGTGATACGATGGTTACAAGGCATGGCAATAACGCAAAGAGCTTCTTACCTTAGGTTGGGCTTGCGTGTTGGGGCATATATATATGACTGAGTGATGAGGAATCAGGTTCAGGTTCAGGTTCAGGGCTATAGCTAGGGTTGGTGGCAACATGGCATTGACATCCATCCATCCATCTTTTCTTTAATTTCCATCTGATTCAGACTAACCTTTTGGCCAATGTGTTCTGTTTGTTTGGACAAAACAAAACTTAACCCTTTTTTTAGCCACTGCTAGTTCGACATGTTTGGGAGTTGATGCCCGGCCCTATCACACGTCTCTCAATTATTCTCATAGTATCGGATATATACTTTGGATTTCTTTACTATTAGATTTTTGGTTAGAAATAGAAAAATTCAACAGTTAAATAGTATTTTATATTTCGGAGCACTATAAAATTTTGATATACATATTATTAATTATGGACAATTAAAATATTAATTATTTAAAAAAAAAATCTATGTATTCCTTTTTTATATTGGGTTTTGCTATAAAAGTCAATGTTTTCGTTTTCATGCTTGTAAAGAAATGATTGATGTTTATGCACTCTAATACGGGTTCTTACCGATTTTTCTTTTTCCTAATAACTAATAATTTAACTTACTAACGATATTGTTATTAAAAAAAAAATCACAAACGTCCTTTTTTGGTTTCATACAAACTCAGGTTTATTTTTGTTGTGGCCTAAATGTAACGAAAGGTAGAGAGAGGGGACAGCGACATAAGAGAGAGTTTGGGTAATTTAGGTGATGTTGATTTTCATCACTTTTGTATTTATTTATAGTAAACTTAGTAGGCTTACTTGCCTCACAAGTAATACAAATCTACGGGAATAAGATCTTCTAGATCATAGAAGAATTTGAAATACAATTTATTGGAGAGTAATCTAATTACATATAAGCACATGCAAGATCCATTTTCTTATCAATGTGAGATTCATTCTTAACATATCCTTATAGATATGAAGTAGAAGAAGGAAGTGTATGCAGTGCAGCAATGGAGATTTAGAGAGAGAGAGAGAGAGAGAGAGAGAGAGAGAGAGAGAGAGAGAGAGAGAGAGAGAGAATAAGCTTTCTGTTATATTTCATTAACTCACGGTTCATTACAAGGATCCTATTTATACAAGCTACATTGCTTAGAGATTGGTTTGATATTGTTGTGCTTTGAAAAAAAACTGTTCCTGTTGTGCTGTGAGAATAAACTCATTTTTACTGCTTCATGTTTTCAGTTTTTTTTTTCATCCAAAACTGTGAAAATAAGCTGTTTTTAAGTGTTTACCAAATACCTTTTTGAGCTCAGCTTTTTTTATACCCACTTTTTATAAAAGCACCTTAGTACCAAATCAGTACTAAGCAACCATGTAATAACAGACTTAACAATTGTTTGCCTAATCTGTTGACAAGTGGCAATATCTGAGACATCTTGAGCTTGAGCTGGATCTTGAGCTTTTATACCTTTACAACACTCTCACGTGTGACGAATTTTCAAGCCTAGTATACGCACAAATTTGGTGATGTGGAGATGGCATGTGTTGACGTTGACTTCACATATGAGACAACCTGTTCTGATACCATAAAAAGAGTTGAGGTTCCACTATAAATCAATTGATGTATGGTAAGTAGCCCAATTACTTATAATTACATACAAAATCCATTCTCTTATCAATATCAAATTTATTCTTAAAAAAAAAAGAAAGTCATTACACAATTCAAAATTTGTAACCAATTTGAAAATTCAGCAGAAGACAAAATGCCTCTAATTCGTGGAGCATTGCATATTCCCTATTTTTATATACAAGTCTATGGTTAGTGGGTATCTTCTTCATGGAATAGCCAACTATAAAACATTTTGCACAAATCGAAATCAAGCGTCCAATTTGCCTCGAAATTGTATGCCACTTATCCTATCTATGCATATGTTTTATTAGCTATTCTTCTATTCATGTGTCTGTTAAGTGACTCGGAGAGAGAAAGCTGAGAGCGGAAAGAAAGGATAACTTCAACTTATTCACAGCATTTACCGGCTAGCTGCTCTTTTACCCTTCTTCTTCCAT